TTGAGTGCCGGAGACCCAAGAAAAAAAGAGAGAGGGATAATAGTAGCTCAACAGTCAACCCAGTTCATTTCCTCGATCGAAGTGGTCAAGAAGTCACAAACCCCGAGAGAGCAGATAATGTTGGAAAGGTAGTGGCCATGGTGAAAATATGTGGAGTGACTATGGAATTCTTGATAGATACCGGAGCTGTGGTTTCTCTCATGAGTTTGCATAGCTTCAATCGGATTTACTACAGAGATAGACCAAAGTTGAAATCAGCGAAAGATGTGTTGCTTCAAGCAGATGGCTCTCCACTAGCATCATATGGATCATGTAACCTGGAAGTAGATTTGGATGGAAGAATCACTCCCCTCGACATCACAATTGCAGAGATTGGCCAGGATGGGATTTTGGGGACAGATTATCTTATGGCTAGTAAAGCCAACATCCAATATGGTTCCCTGCAAATGAACTTCCAAGAACCGGAGGACTCATCAGAAGCAAAGACTCAAGAAGAAGTCCCGAGTTGCAGTAGCTCTCTGTTGGGAGAGACATCCTCATCCAGTATTAGGAGGCTAGGAAGTTCACCAACTCCTCCCCAGGAATCAAGTGAGAAACAAGGAGACCTTGAAAAAGAGGTGATCCCGATTGATTCTGACGAAGACGAGATAACGTGTGTTCCTGAGACTGATGTAGAAGATGATGACGAGCCAACATGCCTGCCTGGACTAGGGAAACTGTTTGACTCCAGAAGAGCTGCAGGAGTTTCTCACATGGCACCTGAGACAGTTATCCAGGAGCCTGCAGTCTCGACTCCAGATACCGAGAGGGAGGATAGCTGTAACCCAACTGTGCTTGTTTGTGGGAGAGAGGATTATCTTGTTTGCACTGTAGCAGAAGGGGTAGAAGTGCCCCCATTCTCCAAACAAATGGTGAAATTGAGAGTAGAAGGAGCAGAAGACTCTAACCTAGATGGAGTGCTGGAACAAGCTCCTAAATGGACTACACAAGATTTGGAATTGGTGAGTGGTTTGATTCATACAGAGAATGGCCTGAGTTCTGCCGAAGTATGGAATAACTCACCACTTCCCTTATATGTTGGAGAAGGACGACTGATAGGCCATTTTACATCTTCCATAGCTGGAGTGTATACCATGCCAGAGCAGACAAGAGGAGTAAACCAGGTTACGTGGAGAGATGAGTCTCTAGACCACCCTTTACCCAGTAGAGTAATGGAAGATGAACAATGTATACTGGATGTGAAAACTGAAGATGGGATGGGAGGAGCAGCTCTTGAAAGTGGAGCACCAGATGCTCATCAGGAGATAAAGCTCCCAGAATATTTACAAGATTTGATGAAGAGAAGCACTGAAGGGTTGAAGAAACATCAGAAAGAAGCAGTGAAGAGACTTCTTTACTCTTACCAAGATGTGTTTGCTGCTTCTGACGGAGACTTGGGAAGAACAACCTGGGCGTGTCACCGTATACCAACTGGAGATGCTCAGCCAATAAAGCAGTCCTATAGGAGATTAGCCCCAGGACGCCAGGAGGAAGTTGACTCCCAAGTACAAGACCTTCTTAAGAGAGGCGTGATTGAAGATAGCCAGAGTCCATGGTCTTCCCCCATTGTTCTTGTTAAGAAGAAAGATGGGACATGGCGCCTATGTGTCGACTATCGGAAATTGAACAGTGTAACCAAGAAGGATGCCTTTCCGATACCAAACATAGCAGAGACACTTGATTTGATGGGAGCCTGTGATTATTTCTCCAGTCTGGATCTCTGTTCTGGTTATTGGCAACTGGAGGTGGACCCAGCTGATAGGGAGAAGACTGCATTCTCCGTGCGAGGAGGGCAGTATCAATGGGTTGTGATGCCATTTGGGTTGACAGGAGCTCCCTCTACATTTTCAAGACTGATTTTTTTTTTTTTTTTTTTTATTTATCATGTTTTATTTAAAACAATAATATATGTAAAAAGAAAATTTCCAAAAAGGCGACTTTGTTTAACATTATAAGTCGCAGGGTTAATTATAAAATTTTATTTCAAAAAACAATCCAATTGGTGAAGCAAATTGGTGAATAAATTAAGCATAGAAGGTTTGATAATTGCTGCTAACACTCAGACACTTACACACTTCTGGAGAAAAGAGGCACTAGTTTCAAGAACAGTTATGTTTGTAGCGTAGTTAAGTTTTGAGCTGCCAAAAAGAAAGAAATTCGATTTCTCTTGTTGGGTCTTAAAATTCTTTTTATATTGGATTTCAAGGTTATTTAGTTTAATTTCGAAGTCAGTTAGGAGGGTCCTACGGAGTCTGCAGTTAAAGATGACATGCTTGGATGTTTCACTTTTGAATCCACACTTACATTTTGGTGTATCAGCTAGAGTAAAGTTGTGGGCATGAAAATGAGATTGAAAAATCAAGTCGACTCTAGTCCTATTAAGACTGATTTCCTCTGGTCTAGGTAAATGCAATGAGGTAGATGATATGATAGGTTCTGGATAAATGAGAAGAGTCAATTTAGATTTGAAAGTACTTAAATTGTCTATCTCTTGGAGTTGTTGGGGTAGTTTGTTCCATTCTGAGATAGCAGTAAAAATGCATGTTTTCTTTAATATCACAGATCTTTTAGTGGGCAAGACAAATTCAGTTGGATTTCTCAAATAGAGAGGAGGTTGTTGTCTCTTATATTTATCAAATATGTTTTGAACATATGAAGGAACTTTCTGATTTTGGACATTGAACATGAGGGTAAGTCGATGAAACTTCCTCCTCATCTCTAGTTTAGGCCAATTTAGAATATTGAGCACCTTTTCAGAAGATGACCCATGAATAGTTCCACTACAAATCAGAGCTGCCTTGTAGTAGAGTTGGTCAATGCGTTTTAATTTGGAAATATCTGCACATCCATAGAGGATGTCGCAGAAATCAAAATGTGGTAAGATAAAAGATTTGAACATAAGATTTAGATGGTTTCCACTAAGTTTTTTACTTAATGCTTTAAGTGGATTTAAAAGCTTATCAATTTTCTTTGCAAGATGAGTAATGTGGAAATTGAAAGATAATTTAGAGTCAAGGATAAAGCCAAGGTGTTTATGCGAAGCACACCTAGGTATGGATTCAGTTCCCAATTTTAGGTCAGGGGTTATTATTTCATTCTTTTTTGGACTACTAAATGTCAGATCATCACTTTTAGAGGGTTTGAATTTTAATTGCCATTTATCAGACCAATTGTTTATAGAATTTAGATCAGATTGGAGGGTGTTTATACATTCAGGCATATTATCATGGCTGAAGGGCTGATAAAGAGAAGTGTCATCTGCATACAGAAAACACTTGCTTAAAATATCATCAGGTAAATCGTTTATGTAAACTAAGAATAGCAGAGGTCCTAAGATGGACCCCTGGGGAACTCCCGAATTGATATAGTCGCTGGCTGACCATGGAGATTCGTGACCGTCAATAAGCACTCTTACTTTTCGATTGGTAAGATAAGATTCAATAAGTAGCATTATATTTGGACCAAAACCGTATGCATGTAGCTTCTTAAGTAATAGCTTATGGGGTAAAGTATCGAAGGCGGCCGATATATCAAGAAAGACTGCACGAACATCATTACCATTATCCATATTAGAAGTTAAGAAATCAAGAATACTTAGTAGTTGGTGTTGTGTACAGTGACCTGGGAGAAATCCACTTTGAAAATTAAATAGAAGATTGTTTGTTAGCAAATGGTCAAACATCCTTTTAAAAATAACTCTCTCGGCTACCTTTGAAAGGCAGCTTAATAGAGTTATTGGACGGTAATTAGAAACAAGATTTTTGTCACTTTTTTTATGGCATGGGATAATATTCCCAAGTTTCCAGGAATTAGGAAATTTTCTCATTTCAAACATCTTATTGAGAAATTTTGAAAATAATTTTGATAAAGATGGAGCTGCTAACTTGAGCATTTTATTACTTAGTTTGTCAGGACCTAAAGCTTTGCTAACATCGAGTGATAAAAGAATTTCATAAATCTCTCTGTCATTTGTTGAAAGGATATTTAAAAAAGAATCAGTTCTAAGGTCAAATTGAACACTGTCTGTATCTACGTTATGATCAGAATGAAAATTTTTGATGAAATGGTCAAGAAATAAATTAGCCTTTTCTGTGCTGGTGAGTATAGAAGAGCCGTTTTGGTTGGTCAAAATAGGAATCCTAACAACTTTAGTTTTGAATAAAAATTTAGATATGACCGACCAGTAAGACTTGCTGCCATATTTAAGGGAGTTTAATTTCTCATACATGTGTGATTCATACTCAAGTTTGGCCTTTGTTATTTCCTCGTTAACAATATCACACTGGTCAATGTACTTTTGATAGCGTTCTTGATTGTTGTTGTGGCGGTATTTGAAATGTAGACGATTCCGTTTATTAATTAGTGTTTTAATGTGAGGCTTGAACCATGGTTTATCATTGCTCCGGACCTTTATAAGTTTATTTGGAATGGTATTAGTAAATATTTGGTAGAGTTGGTTAGTAAATTGATCACATAACATGTCCATATCATATGAATTTTCAATAAGTTGATCAAGTTTTGAATTTCTAATTGAGTCGTTGATATTTTGAACATCAGCCTCGGAATATGACCAAATTCTACGGAAATATGGCAGTTCCTTTACTGTACCAATAAATGAGGTACAGACTAGAGTGCTGTGGTCAGTATTTCCGATTGGAGGTGTAACATTTGAAGAGGATATAAGATTTGGTTGATTAGTAATAAGAAGATCAATGCAGGATTGGCTTCTATTTGTGACGCGAGTTGGTTGGTCAATTAACTGCGAAAAACCCAGACTTTGGAGATGGTTATTGAGCTCATTTCCAGAAAGGTTTTCATTGTCAGCATCCCACCAAATTTTGTTACGAGCATTAAAATCCCCATTAATGACAAGCAGGTCAGCATTGGCATTAGTCAAAATGTTGGAGCAGGTATCATAAAATCTTTTAAAATATGCTTTAGACTGTTGAGTGTCTTGGGAAGGGGAACGGTAAAAAACTCCATATATAATGCTCTTGTGGTGGAGCTTAAGTTCAATAAATAAGGCATCTCCCTCAGCATTAACAAAATCATGTCGAGCTATAATAGGGATTTCTTCAGATATATAGATAAGTAAGCCACGATTTTTAGCCGAGTAAATTGGAGGATGGAAATTAGGAATGGAAAAACGATTGGTAATTTCATCTTGGGTAAAGGTTCCGACTTCACAGAGACCTACAACTTGGCAATCTTCTGTTAAGATACGTGTTTTAAGAGCATCAAACCGAGCGCCAAATTGAGCACTGATGCTATTTATGTTGGAGAACAAAAATTTTACAGTTGACCAGTTATGAGGTCCAGGATGTGATTCTATGTCGCCACTTAAAATAAGTAAGGATTCAATGGTGTTGGGTATATAGCAAAGTTGAGGAGTAAAAACAATGATAAGAAGCACAAATGAAGTGATAACATATATCATATTACGCAAACTATATGAAGTTGCACTACATGCAACTTGGACATAATTGATAATACTTAAGACTAGGAAGCCCATTATATTTATATAAACAATAAACACAGTTATGAGTACTAAGGAAATCATATGCGGTGAGAGATTAAGCAATAAACCATTGACCGTTGTAAGGAGCAATAGTAATCCAGTCAATAGTTGAAAGAGTACTTGAAGCATTTGGCATTTACTAGGTTTGGGAGAGTCCAGTAATTTATTTTTACTGCAGATACTACTGAATAGACCAATGGCTCTACGCCAAGATTGAGTATCTATGCCCAAGACTGATGGAGAAGGTGCTACATGGACTCACTCTCCGGACCTCCTTAGTCTACTTAGATGACGTCATTACATATGCAGACAAGTTTGAAGTTGCTGTGGAGCGCCTGCGGGAGATATTTGGGAGATTCAGAGAAGCTGGACTCAGGTTGAAGCCCTCTAAGTGCTCCTTGTTCCGGAGAAAAGTGGAGTTCCTCGGACATATTGTCTCAAGAGATGGAGTTACTCCCAATCCTACAAAGGTAGAGCAAATCCTGCAGTACCCCATTCCTAATACATTGAAGCAGGTACGTCAGTTCCTGGGAGGGGTATCCTACTATCGCCGTCACATCAAAGATTTTGCCAACATAGCTGGACCACTTCATGACTTAACGAAGAAGAATGCAGTCTTCATTTGGACCCATGATTGCCAGAAGGCGATGGATGAACTCAAGCAGCGTTTGGTAACTGCACCTATCATGGGTTATCCACAAAACGGCTGTACATACATCCTAGACACCGATGCGAGCCTAGAAGCTATTGGAGCTGTCCTGTCTCAAGAGCAAGACGGGGAGGAAAAAGTGCTCTATTATGCCAGTAAGAGGTTGAACAGACAGGAGAGGAATTACTGTGTTACACGGAGAGAGTTGTTAGCGGTAGTGAATTACACCAAGTATTTTAAACAATACCTCTATGGTGTGCGTTTCCGCTTGAGGACTGATCACAGTTCACTTAGATGGCTTGTGAACTTTAAGGAGCCCGAGGGTCAGCTGGCTCGGTGGATCCAGAGTCTTCAAGAGTTCCAGTATGAGGTGGAATACCGCCCTGGTGAGAAGCATCAGAACGCAGACTTGATGTCCAGAGTTCCCTGTAAACAGTGCAGTCACTGTAATGGACAGTGTGTTACCACAGAGGCAGATGATACTCTGGATGATGTCGTTCTAACAGTTTCCTTGAAACCTGAATGGACCTTGGAGCGAATAGATGAGGTCACAGGAGAAACTCCGAGCATGATGATGGTTGGAAGAGAGATGTGTGCTCCTATGGAACAGATGATTGAGACCCCTGTACTCCCTCCCTTAGAGACTGACTATGCTTTATCATTGAGGCAGAGGATGGAGGTTGTACATGAGCGGGCAAGAACACAACTGGACTTAGCTACAGAAAGGCAGAAGAGTAGGTATAACAGATCTGCTGATCAGAGAGTATACCAACTGGGGGATCCCGTGTGGCTACGGAATAAGCAGAGAAGAGTTGGCAAGTCCCCAAAGTTACAACCACGATGGATAGGGCCATACCAGATAGTGGGTCGACTCTCTCCAGTGATTTACAGAATCAAGGAGAAGAAGACAGGGAAGCCAAAAGTGGTTCACCAGAATCTTCTGAAACCATTTGAGTGCAAGCTACCTGCTACCTGGTCCCGATGGATATCGGCTGATGAAGAACCAGAATGTGCTTCATTACCAGAGCAACCCTTGACTGATTTGAAAAGAATAGAAGATGAAACGTTGAGCCTGAGAAAGAGAAAGATGGACTCTGAGAGTTTGAGCTCTCCTTCCCCAAAGAAGGTAAAACCCAAAGTGAGAAGGAAGAAAGCCAACGAGGGGAAAGTTGTTGAGTCTAAATCAAGCTTCAGAGAAGAGTTACCCAGAAAGAGTGAAGATAGCTCTATGGACGACCACGAGAGGAGTGAACTCCAACAGTCATCCAGAGAGAAGAAACCTCCTCGTCCCACACGGAGAAGACATGTTCCTACATATTTGAAGGATTACAGTTGTGTTGTGTCTGCACCAGCAGACATTCGTGATTAATGCTGTGTGATCATAAAGAGGCATTTTCGACTATGATCGTTGATTGTTTTAGAGATAATGTGTTATATTAGTGTATATAGTCGTGAGTTGTATTGTTCATGTTTTGGAGTCTCAAGTTTTGAGATTTATAGCTCTATTGTTAGTTAGAAACATGTATGTTATATCTTCCTTGTTGGATCGAGGGCGATCCATCCTGGGAGGAGGGAGTGTGACAAAATAGTGATTTTTTATTTTTATTGTTTAATTTTGTAAGTGGAGTCAGTCGACTCTTTCAGAGAGTTTAATGACTCAAATGTGTACATGCAGAATGTCACGTATGCACTGGGTTGTTTACAGGATCAGCAGACTGAAGTGGAATAAATTAGAATAATAAGTACCCAGCAACCGGTGATCAGCCAATCAGATTCTTTTATTTGAATTTCCCTCCAACTTAAGTTGTAGTTTTCCCATGATGCAACTTGAGGTGTCTGGATTTTATTGTTTGCAATTAACCACGTGAATCAGAGTAAACCAAGATGTTGAAGATACAAGACCTCGTCAGTTTGGATTTATTTCTGTGCAAGCGTGTTTTATTTAATCTGTGGACTTATTGGAGCATTATTTTGGATATATTGGATTAGTTGCAGTAATCGTTAGATGCAGATTGTATTTGGTGCGACTATTGAAGAAAATACAAGACAACAGCCAGTGTTTTTGGTGAGTTAGCCATTTTCTTGATTGTGGTTGGCATAAAATGGGTAATTAGCTGTCCGCCATCTTGCTTTCTTGTTCCCACAATTCCCGGCGGTCGGTCATCTTTGATTTTGAAGGAAGTGACGTCATTTTGAGAAGTTTTGAGCTCCAGATTCTCTGAGTAGATTTGGCTCTGTCTAATCTCATTTCTTTGATCGATATTCGTGAGTCATTCTGCTCTGAGTATTGGTGGCTCCTAGTCATTACCCCTCCAAGCTATAAATGCTCCTACTTTGTCGAGGCGATCTGACTCTCACCCAGGGTTGTATGTTGAGGAAGGTTTACTCTCATCGGAGCCAAGGTTACATTACCGGAACTGAGGTGCTCCAAGGCGAGAGATAACAGCTCTGTCTAATCTCATCCTTTGATCGACATTTTAGAGTTGTTATTCTCTACAGAGGTTGTAGTGAGGTGGCTCCCGCGAAGCGGTGACTCCGAGAGCAGAGGTTACTCTTTGGAGACAGTGTAGCTCATTGAGTGAGAGCACTCTTTGAGTAGAAGTTACTCTTTGGATACAGTATAGCTCATTGAGTGAGAGCACTCTTTGAGTAGAAGTTACTCCTGAGACGAGGCGATTCCCGGGGCTGAGGTACTAGCAGTGTGTGGATCTCGTTCAAGAGTAGAGGTTACTCCTGAGATGAGGCGATTCCCGGGGCTGAGGTACTCCCAGTGTGTGGATCTCGTTGGAGAGCAGAGGTTTCTCCTGAGAAGTGACGACTCCAAGAGCAGAGGATACTTCCGGAGCCTGGACCCCTTCCAAGAGACAGTGTAGCTCAATAGTGAATTGAGCAGAGGTTGTAGAGAGTATATCCTGAGAAGTGGTGACTCCAAGAGCAGAGGTTACTCTCGGAGCCTGAACCCCTTCCAAGAGACAGTGTAGCTCAAAGAGTGAAAGCACTCTTTTGAGGAGAGTTTAAGGGTGGTTACTCCCGTGACAAGGCGACTCCCGAAGCAGAGGTTACTTCCGGAGCCAGGGCTCCTTCCCAAAGACGAGATAGCTCAAGAGGGAGAGCTCTTTTCAAGCAGAGCAGAGCAGAGTAGACAAGCAGAGTATTGCAGAGAGCAGAGCATAGCAGAGAGCAGAGCCGAGTATATCAGAGAGCAGAGCAGACAAGCAGAGCAGAAAGCAGAGTATGGCAAAGTAGAGTAGAGACGGACGAACTCAGAGCCAGAGTGTTTTGAACTCATACTTATACATAGAGACATTTGTATTTGTATTACTAGCCATAAAGGCATTTGAGGACATTTTGAAATTGATTGTTATAGTAATTATAGTGTTGAATAGATTGTTAAAATCCCGTAATTGATTGTTTTTTACATTGTGTTTTCCATCTCCTAGCTCAGTGACAGCTGAAGCACCAAACCAGCTCGGCGCCCGTGATAAACACCTCTGAATCCCTTATCATCGCCACCAGACCTTCTCCGAGGGAGTACGGGTACTCGGCGGGAGTCTGGCGCGCGACAATATTCCTGAACATGGTGCTAGTTCATATAGGACCAACTACATTTTGAAGTCCATGGCTGAAGCACTGGAGAAAAATAAAAAGCCATTGGAGAAATCTGACATTAACTGTGATATATGTGAACTGGGTGAACAGTATTCATGTGCTGTAGCCAAATGTATAGAATGTGATCAATATTTGTGTAAAGTCTGTGAGAAGTGTCACAGCAGAATGAAAGATACAAAATCCCATCAGTGTATTCAACTGACTGGTGGTGCTGAGGAAGATCCCGATATTGTTGAAGAGAGCTTGATTCAAAAGAAAAATGTCTGCTCTAAGCACTTCTCCCAGCCACGAAAGTTCTACTGTAAGACACATAAGATACCTTTATGTAAAGACTGTCTAAGCGAACATCTTCAGTGTCCATGCATTATGATTAAAGATGTGGCACAGGCAGAAATGAAAAATGTGTTTAAGTTGAAGGGTTTAATCAACCAGAGGAAAGACTTAATTGACAAGCACCTGAAAACCTCAAATAATCTGATAAAAACTCAACAACAGAAACTCAGTGAACTTCTAAATGCTATAACATCTAATCAAAGGGATATGCAAAGTGTATTTGATAAGCACTTTAATAGCCTTAAAAGTGAGGCAAAAGCTTTGTTTGATATTAATGTGAAGAGGATTCAATCTCGCCTAAGTGACATTGAGCTACAACAGGGTGTCAATGATTGTACATTTCATCATCTGAACTTGCTTCAAGAAGATCATGTTGAGTTGATAAGCTTAAGTGCTGATATCCAACAAAGACTTCAAGATTGGAGTACAATGCCTTCAGTTCTGGCCTCTAAACATTTTGACAAATCTTTACAAACACATGCATACAAACCTGGCTACTTGGATGTATCTGAACTAGGACACATTTCTTCTTCAAAAAGTATTCACGGATCTGCACACTTGGTAGATAAGACATGTGATCGCAGTGCTATTCAAGATTTATGTGTCGGTGAGAATCAACACATATTAGTTGTAGAATCTCCAACCAAGGAACAATGTACGATTGTAACTTATGCAAAGAATTCAAACAAATTGATTAAAAAGTCAACAAAAAGATTACTTTCTTGTGGAGCATGTTCTACTAAAGATAAGTGTTATGCTGTATGTGATCTAGCAAACGATTGTATAGCTATTTACAGTTATGATTTGGTACACCAAAAAAACATTGGGAGATTTGAACGTCTAACGCATGTTTGTATGAATTCGGCTGGAGATCTAATGGTCATGGACAAAGGAGGCAAATGTGTGTACATTGTTGACTACAGTGATGGATCCATTCTGGCTACAATAAGTATTGATATATCATGCCATTCTTCTAATAGTCTCACAACTACCAACAGATATGCAGTCATTGCTTCAGATTGGTGGAATAACTGTGTAAAAATGTTCAACAGGAAGGGTGAGCTTGTCCTGAGCTATGGTACAAAGGGAAGTGGTGATAATCAACTTAACTGCCCAAGTGGGGTCTGTACAGACTCACTGGATAATATCATCATAGCTGACAGTCGCAATCACAGAATTCACATGTTGGATCCCACAGGGAAGTTTATCAAGTACCTCCTGACTCCTGAGAACAATGTTAAGTACCCATATGCAGTTGCCATTGATCACAATGGTGACCTATTGGTTGGTACTGAAAATGGTGACCTCCACTTCATAAAATATAGGGAGAATCAAAAATAACAATGATATTACATATAAGAACCCATATGTACTTGCCACTGATCATAATGGTGACCTATTGGTTGGTACTGAAAGTGGTGACCTCCACTTCATAAAATATAGGGAGAATCAAAAATAACAATGATATTACATATAAGAACCCATATGTACTTGCCATTGATCATAATGGTGACCTATTGGTTGGTACTGGAAGTGGTGACCTCCACTTTATAAAATACAGGGAGAATCAAAAATATCAATGATATTACATGTATACTATACAATATACAGTATATATTATAGTATAGTATAGAGTGTACTGTAAATGAACAGATAAACATAAAATATGTCGTTATATTTTCTATCTGAAACTGATTCGAATTAATCAGAACAAAATGTCAAAATGTTTTGCATATCTATATCAAAATAAAAATCTCTTTTTTGATCCAAGAATGAAAAACAAACAGTCATATTGACCCAGAAAACAGACAAGAGTTCGATTTAGTTTTATTTCAGAACCATGCTTCAATAATTGTACATGCAACATTTGAAATGTACACATAGAATAATAATCTACCCTTTACAAAAGTTTGATTTTGACCCTAAAAGGTCTACTCTCCTTGAATATGAAATAATTTGCTACCCAGCCTTTCAGAATATATAGTACAAAAATCCCGCAAAATCTGACTTGATTTGAAAAACAAAACAGTGTCATCTGCTTGTACATAGGTAACATATTCATATTTCACCTCCAATTTAATAAAGCCCATTATGAAACACAACCTTTTCAAATCAAAGTCCCTGAATTTTTCCTGATTGAAATATGAGAATCCCTAACCAAATGCATTTAATTGTTATTATCATTGAAAAAAATAAAAAAAATAAAAACAGATAAATTACATGATCCCTTATTGCATTTATGTACCCCATCATTTTGGTATTTTCTTTTTTTCTCATTTCATGTGTATTTCAATTTGTGGTTCATCTTTCACTAACTTGATTAAAATTCTCGGAATTCTAAAATTCCCACACAAAGGACGATTCTCGGTTTGGAGAACAGTCTCCTGGGCTAATAATTTTTTTCATAAAAAATATAGAAATATTACCCAAATTAAATTATGAATATTCAAAAGAAGACATTTAAATCTACAAGATGTAAAAATAACAACTTGGTCTGAAGCAGGGATAATGCTCAATTAGACCGATTCAATAAAATACAAGTCTCGATTTGAGGAAAGAAGTTCATCAGTGTGCTGCGCTAATATTTTTTTGCAAAAATCTAGAAATATTACCCAAATTAAATTATGACTATTCAAAAGAAGACACTCAAATCTATGTTATGTAAAAAAAATCAAAGGACGATTCTCGGTTTGGAGAACGAAGTTCATCAATCTAAATGAGCATTATCCCTGCTTCGGACAAATTTGATTTATTTTGCATAATATAGATTTGAATGTCTTCTTTTGAATAGTCATAATTTAATTTGGGTAATATTTCTACATTTTTCGCAAAAAATATTGGCGCATTACACTGATGAACTTCTTTCCCCAAATCAAGACTTGTATTTTATTGAATCGGTCAAATTGAGCATTATCCCTGCTTCAGACCAATTTGTTATTTTTACATCTTGTAGATTTAAATGTCCTCTTTTGAATATTCATAGTTTAATTTGGGTAATGTTTTATATTTTTCATGAAAAAAATTATTAGCCCAGGAGACTGTTCTCCAAACCGAGAATCGTCCTTTGTCCGAAGCAGGGATAATGCTCATTTAGATTGATGAACTTCGTTCTCCAAACCGAGAATCGTCCTTTACTTGTTGAGAATCGATCAACTTGAGTTTTTCTGAGACAATAAGGATTTCACCAAGGGTGCACTGACTTAACATGGGGAAATACCCCATAGACTAATGACTCAGCATCGGACGGAAACCATCATGTATGTCACCATGGGGATAGATACAAAAATCTCATTTTCTCAGAAGAACCCAAGTTGATTAAATCTCAACAAGTACATTCATGTGGGATAGCATTTCTAGAATCCATTTTCAATTTTTGGTTAGCTACGTGTACATGTAGATCTACAATAATGATCTCAGCATCATAACTGAAAGTAATGTGAGTGAATCTGTTATAATTGATGACTTTCAAACACAGCCAAGCTCAAAAACCAGTCACACAAAACCAGGGGTTGTAGATCTGATTAAGACATAGAATGTATTTGAAAAATCTAGAATGATAATTCTCCCTCAAGTTAATCGTACTTACTTCATTCATTTTCAACATATCCTCATGGTCGGGATAATTCTCCCCTGAATCTGTATGATGACGTCCAAACACCTTCAAAGCACATTCTGTCCAGCCATGCATCTGTAGGCGCAAATTCTGTAGGAGGTCTTGGCTTGACAGTAATGTATCTCCACTAAATTTCTCTACTTGTTGGCTCAGTGTCTGAAAGAGATGAGATTGTTGATGAGCATTATGCAAATGACTAAGATATGCAGCACTTGCAAGGACTAAAGAAAACAAACCTTGGGATATTTCTCTGAATGACAATCACAAGATTTATTGAAAACTTCGAAAATGGTTTCAAGAAAACAAGATGACCACTTGAAGTAAATCAACAATAGAATTTTGTACCCTCTTACATGTGTATACAATTGAAGAAAATCTGACCAGTGTCTAAAAATGATTGTTGTTTTGACAAGGAATAAAGGGATTAAACAAGGCGCCTTTCTGTAAACATTTTTAGAGTAAAACAAATAATAACGTAACATCATTAAAGATCAAACTTCGATAAAAATATCTTACCAATTCCCAGTCTTTAATATCAGTATAAATCTCTTTTATTTTTGTAGCATCAGGTGCATTCGCAACTTGGCCTGTTTTTGTACTGAAGATAAACACAGGAAAATCAATTTTGTAATATTATTAGATACTTTACACAGTATAAAACAAGTCAACTTCTCATAACAACTTAACTAATAATAGCGGCAACAGAACTAATGGTGCAAAGGATAAAAAACAAACAAAAAAACAGTAACTGTTTATACTTTGTTTATACATAATGTCTTTATACTTTGTTTGTTCCCAAATTGCTTATAACGCATCCAGCAAAGCCATGACAAGCCTTGTAAATTGTACATGTTACACTACAATACAGAAATTAAGTGAAGAAAAACAAACTTACAATACATTATGGTGGAAGTCCTGCATCCACTTCTCAAAACCTGATCTCACTTTCACCACTTGCTGTTTCATATCATCCTCTCGTGATATCGCACTCCCGTTAAACTGCTCCATTAAATCATGCCAGGTTTCTACATAACCTTGAAGCTTCGCTAACAATTCAGTGTCCTTATCACTGAGGAGGATTGTGAAATGATTTGCAAGTTTTGCCCAAGATTTCTCACTGATGTGCATGCGTTTTGCTGTGTTTAGTTGGCATTCTTCAGTGACCTGGAGGAGTAACAAGAAGAGTCAGAAAAAGCTCACATACAGTTTAGACAATTCGGCTGTGTATAGACAATTCCTACCCTTCTAATTGTACGCCTGTGCAGCATTGATTTAAGATATATGAGAAGAACTGGACATGGTACAGTGGCAAATTGTAAAAGACAGAGGGTGGTAGCATATTTATCTTAATTCACAGCCAGTGTTTGTACAGCAAAGGATAAGTGAGGCAACTTTTAAAAAAAAAGTTTTATTTTGAAACTGAGGCCCAAATTTAAGATTTCGAAAACTTGGAAAATGCAATAATTTTCATGAGAGAAAATATTTCACAGAGGATATCACATATAGAAATACAAAATAAATAAAGTCATGCTAATTCAATTTGAAATATTGAGGGATAAAGAAGATGACCAAGATTCCCATGTTATCAAATAGAATTAACAAATACAAATAACACACCTTCAATGCAAGACTGTAAGCCGCTGTGCTCCAGATTTCTTTCTCTTCGGCCAACATGCCAACCTGTTTCTCAAGACGTTTCCTCTGTAGTTCATACAAGTCATGGTACTCAGCCAATAAACTGGCATTCTTACGAGACTCCGCCAAAGCTGATTTAAGCTACAAATGCATCAAATAAATATAAAAAAGAAGCTGGGATTTTTGAATGATGGAAACATAGAAACATAGATAGATACCAAGACAAGCTATGATTCATCACATGCTACCCCATTATGTATATAATTTATAAAGTACATGTAAACTGATAAAGTTATACACACGTTTACAATACATAGTTGCACAATACTACGTCACAGAAGTTATGAACATGAAGTACTCGAAATATATATTTTTCACATTATGTACTTTGTAGTCATCTTCAAATATTTCATGATTCATTTCAAATAAGCTCAGAGCAAACATAAGCAGATAGCACAATGATTGTCCATGCTACTAGAGCTAATACCCACCCCTTCCTGTGCTTGCTGGGCCTCAAATGTGACTCTCTTGTCATGTTGTTTAACCTCTGTCAACTCACTGAAAGACAATTCATTGATGAATAAGCAATGGACGTAATTTTGTTATATCGCATGTACTGTTAAATTACATGTAGAATTCTCTAATTCAGCGAGATTAATTGTGAAACAAAATTAGCCATGATATAGTTCATTCTTAGAATGAAGCATGAAAAATGGATCAACGTTTAGGCTAATGCTCTTAAAGCATCTGAAAATATGCTCTGATGATAAGTGGAAAGTAAAAAAAAATAAAAAATTTGGATGAAGAGAGAAAAAATATAAATGCTCCTTTGAAATTTAGAAATGTTTATTATTAATAACATACCTTGTGAGAACACCTATGGTTGATTTAAATCGCATGAGTTCCTCTGTCAGTCTTCTATCCAATGCCCTCTGGGCCATAACCTCCTCATGCAGGCTGAAACAACATACAACATATATGGATGATGATCTGTTATCCTTGTAGCTTTCTTCAGCAAATTGCAAGATTGGTTATGCACTATTTTCTAGGTTATGAGTGGTGTGATCTAAAAATCATTCAATATTTCTTTCATGTACAGGAACATCTGTAATATCGATCTACTTATCAAGTGAGAACTTGTCCAAAGAAAATCCTAGGCCTTTCTGTATATGCGAACCCCTATCTACAACTCTTCAGCTTAAAAGGTGTTTACTCTGGCAGGTTTTAGTGCACACATTATATCTAACTTTAACTTAGAATGAAGATTACCTTTTAATTTGTCTTGGCACTTTGTTCAAGAGTTCATTGTAACGTCCTCTTAAGTTTGCGAGAAGTTCTCCTCTCTCTTGGCAGTCCACGGTGACTTGACGTATAAGCTCATGGAACACCATGTTGTAGATGTTCTGTTCTTTCTTGATCAACTCAAGCAGGTTGTGCATCTGGAATACATTGTTAATATTCATTGAAATCTTGGTTCATTTGGAAATCCTACTAAATTTTTGAATTATACTAGTACTGTTATTATAGTATTACCCATAATATTGATGCAAATGATGGTTAGCTTGATTACACATCACATGACTATACATGTATTATATATACAAATATATATGTATCTTTATTTTGCATTTACAATGGATAAAACATTTATAAATGTAAACAGAAGTAAACAACATTTACATTATGGTTATACTAACCTGTGTGAGACCTTTTACTTCCATCTCTTCATCATTAGTAAAAAGTACTAAGTAAACAACATTTACATTATTGTTTTCCTAACCTGTGTGAGACCTTTTACTTCCATCTCTTCATCATTAGTAAAAAGTACTAAGTAAACAACATTTACATTATTGTTTTCCTAACCTGTGTGAGACCTTTTACTTCCATCTCTTCATCATTAGTAAAAAGTACTAAGTAAACAACATTTACATTATTGTTTTCCTAACCTGTGTGAGACCTTTTACTTCCATCTCTTCATCATTAGTAAAAAGTACTAAGTAAACAACATTTACATTATTGTTTTCCTAACCTGTGTGAGACCTTTTACTTCCATCTCTTCATCATTAGTAAAAAGTACTAAGTAAACAACATTTACATTATTGTTTTCCTAACCTGTGTGAGACCTTTTACTTCCATCTCTTCATCATTAATCCCAGCCTTTTGCAACATTTCCATCAGAGTCTCCTTCAGTTGCAGCACTTCATAGCGACTACCTGGATTCCTGAATGTAAATTTCAATTCGCATGAATACATAGGATGATTTTCTTTTAAACAGAAGTATAAGCACGTGGTATATACAAGTAAAGAAACTGTAATAATGGTGATCAATCTTCCTCGGAATTTTTTCACAGTAGGGTACTAAATCAAAATTTTCAATCTCAAGTTTTTCATGTCTTTGGCAGGATGTATGTAATTATTATTTATTTTAATTTAATTTGATATACATGTTGTCATCATCAGTATATTTGGCCAAATTCAAATGCAAAAACTAGAACAAAACACCTCCTTTATACCACTTTTAATTTGGTGGTTATTTCTAGAACCTATCCCAAGAACCTTTATCTCATTTATGAGATGCTCAAAAACTTACATTGACGGGAAAACAACAAGATGCTTCTCATGATCTTGAGGTTGTGTAGTAAACTTCTCATCATGGTACTCTAGGCCCATAACCCCCTTGTTCTTGACAATATGGTACTCTTCTGGGATCAATGTGTCTGGTAGCTTCATAGCCTGAAATATATGTCATGTATGTGAATATAAAGCATGTATTCCACTCCCATAACTCCCTTGTTCTTAACAATATGGAACTCTTCTGGGATCAATGTGTCTGGTAGCTTCATAGCCTGAAATATTTTGTCATGTATGTGAATATAAAGCATGTATTCCACTCCCATAACTCCCTTGTTCTTAACAATATGGAACTCTTCTGGGATCAATGTGTCTGGTAGCTTCATAGCCTGAAACATGTACATTAATATCTAAAGTACAGTAAAACCTGTCTTAGTGAACACCTCTCTCTAGTAAACCACTTGTATCTGGTAGACACCCTTCTTCCACACATAATGTATTAACATCTGTATATTAATTACCCTTGCTGTAATGAACACTTATCAACACTGAACGTTTTTTCTTGGCAATTTTTTTGTTCAATATGCACAGGTTTTACTGTATAAAAGTTTAATACCATTATTGTGGTACATGTACACTATGTAAATTATCAGTCTGTACCTGTCTACGTTCATCACTATGTTTCTCTACTGCTCTCACATAGCTATCATCTTGAACTGGTGGTTTATCAAGCCTTTTCTCAGAGACTGGCACATCATACAGGAAAGATATATCCCTACAAACAAAATCAGTATTTTTCAACTTGAATGTAGATTTCATATCAAACCTTCAACAAGAGTCTTTATTTTACTGAGGCAGATATATTTATTAACAAAATTATGATGTGAATGACACTACAACAACCGCAAACCATGAGTAAGAGAGTAAATGTCAAACAGAGCAAAAGTTGACTTCTCCAAAACAAGATGAGACTTTTGACCAGTGATATAAATTACCGACATGGGCACTCTTAAAAATGGATATGGGTATTGGTTTGAATGAATAGCGTAACAGTCATACATTCACATTTGACGTAACCTCTCGTTTTTAAAAAGGTGCCTACAATTTTGGAATCAATAAACTCATTAATATTCAGTTGATTCATATGATAATATTTCACTTACTGGCCTGCTCCACAGACACATGGGGTCTGATCTGTTAGATGTTTTAACTTATCACGTCTTTGGTGGTGCCATACTCCAGCAGGGGCCTTCCTTGATGTAGTCTAAAATATTACAATTGATTTACAAATTCGTAACTTTACGAAGTTTCTGTTAATGACCACAAGGCTATCAAAGTCAACCTCCAAACAGAGGATCGAAACTCAGGAATGTTGTTTTAATTGTGAAATGAGAGCAGGAAGATGTGATGCATGTAATATGAAATTACTTACTGTGCTTGTATTTAAGTTTCTGAAGCGTGACGGTGGTCCTAACTGGTCTTGTGGGGGAGGGGGTTGAGTTAGGGCAAAAAGAACATCATTTGGGATGAAATCACTTTGTTTAGTTTTCTCTAATGCTGTCTCACTGGTTCTTAGTGGCGGTAAATTACCTGAAAAATTAATTTGAATTAAACACAAAATTTTCACAGGTGAGGGATTTTCATATTTCCTTCAAAGAAAGAAGCAACAATGTTACAATATCTAAGCTGTTCAAGTGTTACATGTTATGAGTCATAAATTTTTCATCATTTCTGTTGTATTCTTACACTTACACTGGTGAACATCATTTCTAAGACGAACTTACTCCATTGACTTCTTAGTATAAAAGATCTTACAGAAAACAACACCTACCTACTGACCTACAGATTACAGCTTTTTTAGTGTCAGAATTGTTCACTATTGGCAGGTTTATTGACTTGTCTTAGTCATGTAGCACACTTACCTTTAGTTGGTAATGAAACAGACTTGGATATATCAGTGCGAGCACTGCCTGGTGGGGTAGGGCCTCCCATATGTCTGTTAGATACATCAACTGCACTCATATTGTTTCAGTCATCTTGAACTCTGAAATATACAAACAATTGTTCATTGTACCAGCAACTCATACATGAAGAATATCAATAACAAGATGGTATTGAATGTGTGTTTCAGGAGAGACCAATTTAAAGTAGCATAAACATTGAACATGCCATTTTATTCTAGGGTTTCTAAGCTGACATACAGGTAACAATGAATAAACAAGCTGATGTGTTCAACTACAAGACACAAGTGAGAAGATTATAATAACACTTATGGATGAAATGCATGAGCGTGTAATGATATTAAACTAAGATGAGAGGAACCAGAAATACAGCTTCCATTTTCAAATAATGGCATTGTTGAGTTAGATCTACTCAATTTTAGGGGAAATAATCCTAATTATCACATGGTCATGATTATCGCATGATTGCTCTATAGCTAGATTATGCACAATTATCGAATAACACACGTCGTTGTGATGTTGTAATCAATGTTAGCATATTTCTTACACATTTCTTTTTTTGAAATTTTGAAACAGCCATTAATGACGTTATTTGTTTGTCGATTGGACAATTCAGCGACAATGTCATCACACGACACATTTACATTATAGAGGTCATGTCATCTCTGAAGTTCTGAACCCTCAGGTTTCCCCCCTCTGTTCAAGACAATATTCTCTAGTCTGATGATATTTTTTTTAATTTGGTCGGAAATATTACTCAGTCTGTTTGATACATACTAGGCCTACCTCTTTCGAGAACTGACTCAGTGAGAAATTAAAAAAAAAAAAAAAAATATTTAATCTGTAGTCTATCGTTTAGCCTGGATCACAAGAAAGCATGTGTGCATTATTATTATTTCATTTTGAGGCTCCGTATAATAGACTATCTATATTTTCCATCATTTGGTTGTAACGCTGGGGTTAAGGTTAGTAAAAAGTCATTTAAACACGGAAAAAATTGTAGTTTACCTGTCGTCATGGAAGGCGGAAGTTGAAGATGTGCTGCATTCTGGGTAAAATGGCGACTTCCGGTGAAAATATTTCGGAACAAGTTTTGAAGATTTTAGCTTCCCATCCGGCACTTGCACTAGATACAAAAAGTAAAAAGGTGCGTATTTCATAACCCTGATATATTTTTTAATTACGTGAAGTTTTTGGTGATTTAATCGACTTATTCGTAGTAAATTGACATGTAAAACAAAACACATGTTTTGTAAATTACTTCCGGGTTTGTTCTGTATTGAAGTAGTGTTTATTTATAAATAAGTGTTCGTATTTTTTGGGGTCCAATTTGTTACCTTACAATGGTTAGCTGGTTTGTGATTTTAACCACATACAATCAAAATTATTGAAGCGTTTTGTACATTCTCAAAAAAACAATTTTGAAAAAATTGCTCAGGCCCATAGCCAGGATTTGCCAAGGAGGGGGGGATTATTTTAAAAGATTGCAGGGGGGCGGGTGCTCACTTTTGACAACATTGACACAAAAATGGCCAAAATAACTTGAAAGTTTTCAAAATGGGGTTCTGCATGATTTCGAAAGAATTTTTGGGCACTGTACTCCCCTGTGGGCTATTGGCCTGCTGCTATACCTGAATATCTTATAAGGAAGAAGAAAAATATCTCATTTTATGTTACAAAATAAAGTATGGAGACATTTGTGTACTTTCTTATTTTTATCTGGAATTCATCCTTGTTGCATCCTATGTTTAGGAAATTAGATTAGAGTCCATTTCATTGTTTAACTGCGTCAGTAAAAGCTAAAAAATAAGAAATCAAAATATCATTTTGCAATAATATATGGAAAAATATTTTCCTATTGTACATGAATGACATTTGTATATCTTGGATTGCTTCTAGTTTGGCTTATAAAGTGTGTGGCCTCTTATATTTGGATGCTTCTCTGCCATGTTATTTTCAATAAGATTAACATGGCTGAAATTCTTCAAATTACAAGACGGCACAGGCTTATTGCACAAAAAAATAAAAAATCTGAAATACACAAATGTCATTCATGTACATTATGAATATACTTTTCCATATATTATTACAATGGTCTCCCAATTTCTTATTTTTGCCGTTCTACTGACGCAATGAAGCAGTGAAATGGACTCTAGTGGTGCTATAGTGCTATATTCACTTTGTACTATCACTGGTGCGGTTCACATTTTTTTGTATAAATAATTTTTTTTGATCCTATATACATGCCAAATATTCAGTTGACATTTGAAGGATAAAGGTGGTAAATCGAAAAAACAAAAATTCTTATCAAAAAGAATTCAACCGCTCCAAAACAGGCCACGCTGAAACAAAGACATTATATATTCGTTTCCACTTGATCCCCAGTAACAATACTGTTTTTGTCTCTTTTAGGTGAAGTGCTCACTATCTGGCCATGAAATGCCATGCTCATTGTCTGCCATATGTACATATACAGATGGCAAGAAATATAAAAGATTGCTCGCCAAACAGAACGTCCTAATAGAGAAATACAAACAGTTTATACAGCCCAGTAAAAAGAAACATCACGAGTAAGTTCTGCTGTGATTTTGTTTGAACGATAGGGATAGACAGTAGATCTTCAATCATTTCATATTTGAAGTTATAAAAAATGATGAACTCATCTTTATCTAGAAAGAATATTCAAGGATTAAACATACACATATGTATTTTGGATTCACTGCATCTCTGAAATTAACCTTTTGATTGAGAAATATTTTTATGCTTTTGTACTCTTTGCTCTGATTTAAAAAATGTATGTTTTGATTTATTTAGGAAACAGCTATTCTGTACACTGACCTTGAGACATATGAATGACAAAGCAGAGCATATAGAGAAGCATATTAATGGACGCCGCTTCAAGAAAGCCTTTGCCAGATGTAAGTCATTCAGGTGCTTGTTCTTTGCATATATTCTCGTACTTTAATAAGGGAGTTGCTATATAGCTGAATAAATAGATGTCAGCACTTGTTATTTATTTTGATTGGGCCAATAGTTACTACAAGTTCCTACAGTAGTCATTTATTGTGTATTACAGTAAAACCTATTAATATGTATGTATGACTGTATGTTAGTAGATTTAAAAAGTTATATGAAATTCAAAGTTTTTTTGTTTGGATCCAGGGGAGGACTGTGAGAGAAGGGGAGTGAAATTTGAGGCTAATGTTGGACCACGTCGTCAAGTTGATGATAATGATGAAACAGATGAAGATAATGCGAAAATATTCAAAGATGACATGAAAGATCTCTTGCCACGTGAGTAATAATATTTCTTCTATTTGATTGATGAAGTTATTCTTAATACAGTTAGAAAGAGGGCAGCACCTATTGGCTCTAGGCATTTAGGGAAATAACAACATTCAAAGAGAAAATTAAAATTCATGAATGTTTCCTGCATTAAATCATGTAGTACTCTTTGCATGGATTAATCAATTGTATGAACTGATTTATCCTTATTAATTTTTTTTGTTTGTCGTAAAATAAAATTTAATTTAAGAATGCCTTGTTTATTTTCACCAAGGGCGTTACAATACCCGGGAATTTATCGGTTCGTGCAGTACTTGTTTGTGATAGCGCCCTCTGTAGGTCACTGTGCTTAAATAATCATATTTATGCGTGCGCGCGCAGCTCATCCACTGAACGAAACGCCACTTCCTGCTGAAATCACTGGGTATTGATTATTCCCTTGATTTTCACCAAGAGTTTGATTTCTAGTTTGATATTTTCTTCAGCTGAAGACTTCGTGTCATCAGGTGAGAGTGAGAATGAATCTGATGTTGATGGTGAGGAGGGTTGCGAAGTCATAAAGGACAATGATGTCACAGATGAGAGTGATGACATGGAGGATGATCTCATTGAGGACGAACAACCAAGTCCTAAACGACAAAAAACTCAGGTATGATATTTCAGGCATAAGTTGCACTAAATTCTATAAACTAAAACCTTTAGTCTTCAATGTTTGAACAAATACAGTAGTTTTGTATATTGCACATTGTAGTGACTAATATGTCATTGTTATGACATCAGAGAGTCAATAAAATATTATGTCAACTGCCTCTATTTGTACCTTATTTGAAATTTGGATTTATATTTCAGGTTGGAGGAGTTCAAAGTAAAAAGGCCAAGTTTACAAAAGCAAAGAAACCAACAAAAAGTAAACAATTTAAACGTGGACTCAAAACCTGACAAATGTTTTTTGTGAATAACCTTTTCATGAAATATATATCTTGTGAAAGGAAAGTATTATTTTTTATTAAGTCTTGTTGGATATTCTTATTGCCTTGAAAACTGCTATACTTTTGCTGTCAGGTGTATGGGGCACAGAAAATCATGTCATCAAGGGAGCAAAAACTGTTCATCCACTAAACTTTTTCACTGATGCAAAGTTGCAGTATCACCAATACCTAAACAAGTCTTGGGCATGCTTGGTTATGGCGTTATGAGCAATGGCTATGATTAAGTGGGTTCAAACTGATTTTATATTGATTGTAGAGTAATTTCCAAATTTTCAGAGAAGATATTTTCATCTTCCATCATCAGTACGATTGATTTTGGATGCAGTCCTACAGTTCAGAATTTGAATACATGTACGAGTGTCTTTACTTCTGATGAAAAACTCACTCTTCATAAATAGATTCATGTTCAGTCACCATAGAAAACAAAACATATTTGTTGTTGTTATAAATGCCAATAATTTATTATTACATTTATGTTTAAAATCATAAAAATAAGAATACAATCATATACATGTACCTATCTACAGGGTGGGCCAAAAAAAACCACCCCCCTAGCCAATATTTCTGATAAATATTCAATTTTTAACATGCACACCAACAATGATATATCATTTTAAAGATAATTTAATTTGCAACAAAATGATATATAACAGAACAATTTCCAACAACTCTGGCTCAAGATATAACCATTTATGTGACATGGGGGTCAAAAAACACCTTTTCAATTTTCGTCAATTTTGCGAACAATTGCCTATTTGTACCAAATTTTAGTAAATTACAACATTGTCATGAGTCTTTCATAATTGGATATTATATATTGTTTTCATTCACTTTTTGAACCTTGCATGCTCAATATACATGTGTATGTTTATAAAACTAATTCATTTCTTCTTCAGTCTGTCCAAATATGGCTCAATAGACTCACCCCCGGACCCAACTTCTGATTTGATTTCTCACTTAAAACGCGAAAGCCATTGGTATAATTGATGGATCTTTGCGGAAGTACCATCCAACACCTAATTTTTCATTCTTTCTGTTTGTCTACACCCCTGATGGTCTAGGGATCTCCATAGGCCAACTGTTCTAAATGCCCCAAGTACTATACATGTAATCAGCAGGATAGACTCTATATATCAGTAAGCAATAATAGGGACATTTGCGATAAAAGGCTACTCAAATCGAGATGATATTTTTCTGAAAGGTAGGTGGTGTCCACTCGGTGTTTTCCAAAAAGGAAAGACCATACAGGCCCTGTTTTTTGAACCAGGAGCAAAAATATACTATGAATGTTAATGACATGAGGCGGTAAAAAAGGACTCAAGAATATAAAAAACATGTGAAAGAAATTTCATTTTCTGATAGAACAGTGCTCCATCACACAGGTCCAATGCTACCCTGGAGTTTTTGGAGATTCGAAATGTCACCATCTCTAGCCCAGAAAAATGGTTTACTGGCAGTCCAGTTGCCAATAATGTTGATTCCCATACCTGGGGGCATCTAGAACAGTTGATATTTAAATATACCCAGCCTATCAGGGATGTAGAGGAACTAAAAGAAAGAATAACTAGTAGTTGAATGGTACTTCTGCATACATCCATCAATTATGCCATCAACCAATGGCTTCCGCGTCTTAAGCGAATAATCCAATCAGAGGATGGGTCCGGGGGGTGGGTCTACTGAGCTATTTTTGGACAGACTGAAGAAGAAATGAATTAGTTTTATAAGCATACACATGTACTTGTATATTGAGCATGTGTGGTTCAAAAACTGAATGAAAACAATATATAATATCCAATTATGAAAGACTCATGACAATGTTGTAATTTACTAAAATTTGTTAGAAATAGGCAATTGTTCGCAAAATCGACGAAAATTGAAAAGGTGTTTTTTGACCCCCATGTCACATAAATGGTCATATTTCTATATGAGGTTGTTGAAAATGGTGCTATTATATATCATTTTGTTGCAAATTAAATTATCTTTAATATGATATATCATTATTGGTGTGATTGTTAAAAAATAAATATTTATCAGGAATATTGGCTAGGGGGGTGTTTTTTTTGGCCCACCCTGTATATACTGGTTGAATACAAACATTTACTAAATGCAAAGTGCCATCTCCTACAATAAATTAAACGAGAATAAAAATGACATTTCGAATTTGTCCTTTTTCTGTGGTCATTTTTTACACCCACGTGTCAGCACTAATGTATTTATTAATAAAATTATGGTAAATAATGAAACTAGCATTTTGTGGAGTATAAAATAACATGGTCTATTTGATCAGCTGCCTGGTCTCAAATCCATAGTGATTAGCAGTAGAGTTTATATATTTATTGTAATTTGACATTGTTGGAAGACATATCTTGAACTTCTTGTGAATATGACATCACACAAATGAAAATGACATCAGTTTTTATGCTAGGGATTTATTGATTTTATTCACACACTGACATAAAAATGAAATTCACACACTGGCTATACATAAAAACTAAACAAGCTGACATCACATGTTGACATCACAGACTGACATCTTAAAAGTATTTTACATAGAGGTACATCCGGAGCTACATGGCTATATCTGAACTCTGATATGACAAATTTACGGTGGATCTACTGCATCATGTATACATTGAATTTGAGGCCATTTGCACAGTAAATCTGATAAATATCATCATGGTGCCATATTGTAACACAAATTTCACACAAATGTCACACAAAAGAATTAACTGCCAAAATGTCAAAATGAAAAAATGTCCTAGCATAGAATGGTGTCCAATTGTCAGCATTTGTGGAAGAATGACGATAGTTTTGTAAAAGGAGTTGGTAAATGAAGATCCTGATGGTGTAAAAATGTTGATCTTTAAATGAATTTTCAACAAGTTGTTCATATAGGGAAGTGAATTCAACCATGATAAAATCCACTTTGTTATTCCACAAAAGTCGACATTCCGACATCATCCCTAACACAATATCGGAGAAATATCTTCACAAAGAAGTTCATTTCTGATTTTATGTCCAAGAACTGCCACAGTGCATGATGTAACAGTGGCATAGCATTCACACAACAGTGTGTCACATAATTACTGCTGATGATTTAAAATGAATTTCTGATTCCATGATTCAATATTTCAAAATGTGATTTTCCAAGGCATTCGGAAATACAGGGCAGGCAGAGGTGTACAATGTGTTGCATCAAAGTCATCCATATATTTAGATGCCTGGAAATAGAAAATAGAAACATTTTCGCAATTGTCAACAACTATTTGGGAAGAAGTGTATCAATGAAAGGCGCCAAAGTCATGATTGTTATGTCAGTATAGGTCTTTAAAAAACTTGGAGGAATACATTTGTATGATACATACACTGACAAACTTCACCCCCAACAGCTTTTTGAGTATGCACCCTAAGAGGGAATATTCATATACATACAACCCCAAGAGGAATACTTGCAACTATTTTTTACTTACTAAAAATAAGGTGAGTTGTATTTTAAGTTCCACATTCATGCCATCCCCTATCTGCATTGGATACGATTCGGAATGCTCAGCGATATGAGAGCGAAATAGTGACGTACAATAGTCATCATCTATATCATACTGGCTCATAAGTTGGACTGAAATAAACAATATAATTGAGTTTCAGAAAACTGATGCATCATTAGTATTCAAATATGCACCCAGTTTGTCTTATTGTCGATGTAATTCTTTGTGTTAGGTAGCTTGCGACAATTGAGTGTCAGAATGTGAAGAAATTACTCAGATTTGAAAGCATTTCAAGAAAATTTATTTAAATTATGACATAATAGACAGAAATGGAAATAATAACATGTTGAATATTTTTAGATTCACCTTATTTTCTTGATGAGAATGGATTTCTTCTGAAACATACTTTCCAGAAATTATTAAATAGATCAAATAGATGAGTACAAAATTAATCTTGAACTGATACTTAAAGTACCAGCATACCCCAAATAAAAAGTGATAAGATAATGGCTCTAAGAAGTACTGTACGTGTAGTAATGACACTATATAGTTTATCCTGTATACAAGGGGTGATCGATCAATCAGTAACTGAAGCTTGATAATTAGGATATGACATATTGAACATATAAGTTAATGTAGTTTCTTACTTTGATCTTCTCTGGCTAGCTCTAACCACAATCTGAATGTACTAAGTGTGCTTTCATCTACTACTTTAGGGTATCTAGAAAATAAAGTTCAATGTTTTCATTCTTATTTTCCACATCATTAGTCTAAGGGTTTCATTTTTATTATTGGAACTTGGATATGCATTTCAGGGTGATCCAGTTTAAGGTGCAGTCGATCTAAAATGAGGTTTTATATGCCATAAAATATGAATATACATGGAAACGATTTTGAAGAAAATCTATAATATATTCAAGGAGCCCTTCAATATGATATTTCTATAATAATATCTCCTGGGTATGCAAAATGAAGAAGAATTTGGTAGTTGAAAGCTGTACAGATGATTTTCGGTACCCTTTGAGTTGATTGTTTAATTGTTATATGAGGCTTACCTATGTTGTAAAAGTTTTACTAAGAGATCATTTCCTCTATTAGAGCCTATATGCCCAGGTTCTCTGAAATATAAAAACAAAATATGAATTTGATTCATATTTTGAGTCAAAAGCACATATGACAATGGGAAAGGATAAGTAAAAAATAAATGGGGACTCATGATAGATATGAGACAATTGAAGAACGAACAACAAAAAGGAAAGATTTGTCTGTAAGGGGAACAATCATTATTAAAAAAAAATACCCATCAAATCTGTCCCCTCATTTATGCAGTTTTTCTAAAAATATGTGATGGGATTTTTGAAATAATCTGAAGCATCTTGGTGAATTATGCGAACATTTAACATATTATTTTTCTAATAGATGCCAACATGTATTTCCCCGTGGCTAAGTTCCACCTTCTCAAAATACTCGAAACTTAATCAAAAGATGAAGATAATTTGTCAACTGCCATAAGTGAAGTATGCCCTGAGCATTTTCATTAAGCTTATGACCTCGAATCTGAGAAACTTCGATTTTGTCGCATCAGTAATTTCCCTTAAATCTGTTTAGCGTAATTAAACAAACAGGAATATGGTGTTATTTCTTACGCAAATATGACGAGCGAGACCTTTACAATCCTATATCCACAATTTACACAACTTTGGTTGATTTTAATTATCGTCTCAAACTGACTGTTAGCTAGGCTACCAAATTATCATAAATCTTAGACATTTTGGATATTTGAATGATTCATCGGCTTAGAACACAGCAGTGTAATCATTTGTGAAGTTAGAAACAGCGAGAATATATTACTTTGCTCAGAGTTTTTTGACAGATAACAGCTGAGATATGCAGATAAGGATCCCGGGAGATGCATATTTATATTCTTTATTGTAATGTTCTTTGAATGTGTAGACGTGCCTATGAACAATAATAACCATTATACCCAAACTGTCAAATACTTTGAATTATATCCCAGGGCCCTGTGTTTTAAGAACATCATGATCTGCAATATGTTCAACTGTCCAACAAAAAATGTTGCTGAGCAATATTGCAGAAGACAACTAGATTTCGCTAACCAAACTAAAAGTGACATTTTGGACATTCTGATAATCAGACCATCTCCACATTTCAAAGGAACTTATTAAAGGCTTTGATCTCTCACAATGCATTATGTATGTACTGTACTTACAGTGACAAAACATATAGTAAATGGAATTTGAGTGATAGACCCATAATGCATGGTATGGTTGACACATTGAGTAATTAAAAGTCCATGAAAAATATGGTAACTCTGAGAAACTGAACCCAGATTCCTCCTCCAATAACACATTGAGTAACAGACAGCATAATGGTTATTACTGATTTTGAGACACTGGCCCCAGATTATACAATTAATTGAGAAACCCCCCATGACATTAATGACTTACTTTGTGGTTATGATTTCATCTTTACTTCTACGTATGATTAGTATCGGTCCAGGGTACCTGAAACACACAACAGAAAAAACATTTCATAGAGAGTCTTAAATACTCATCATCCGATCACAGGGCTTCAAAATCAAGAATATCTTCTTTCTTTTTACCCCTGCGTTAAGCAGTTAGCATTTCCCCGATTAAGAACTCACAATTTGATTCGCTGTCGCAACACTGCGACAGCAATTATGTATATGTCATTGGCGCATAATTAGATCACGTGATTCAGTTTAATCAGGCGCTTCCAAATTGCTTATAGCAGGGGGAAGGAGGTACGGATTCTGGACACCTGCTTAGGAGGATGTAAATACTACATATTATGCATAAATCATCAGTGCTATAGACAAAAATATTAAAGTGAATCATTTTTAGCTTTCATAAAATCTCTTATAACCTCTCTAAGATGTATTTTGTTAAACAACAAGGGGAGACTGGAGACTATAACAATATGTCACCACTTGTGGTGGTGACATAATAACAAGGCATTAACATGCAAAATGTCACCATCTGCCATTTGTTACAGATGCCATTTGTTACAGACACCGAACTCCGAACTGCCAAACACCATCCACAAAAAAGTTGGAGACTGTAACAATTTGTCACCACTTGTGTCAGTAACATAATAAAAACACTAAATCTTTATTTTCTAGAATATTTTTAGAAAAAGAAAGTTCACAAATTAAATTGTCAATTATTTGCTTCCCTAACAAAATGCAAATAAATCATTCATCTCTTAGCCCAATCTCATTAGAATTCTACAAAGAAGTCTTGAGTCACTCTACTAAGGGAGATCTCTCAGCTCATTTGAACTATAAAATATTTACTTATTATTGTGTTATCAATAAATGAATACCAACATTTCTCATATCTAATATTACCCTAGATTAGAGACATACGTCGTATGTTTGAGAAAAAATGCAACTATTTTTATAATGTTAATATTATTTGTGAGAAAAACATGAACCATGCATATATAGTCCAAGTGTGAAATGGATTAGTATTTTTGCATAGGAACAAAACAATGAGTACCAGGGTATTGACATGCAAAATGTCACCACCTGCCATTTGTTACAGACACTGAAAGACGACTGCCAAACACCAAGTACCAAACACCATCCACAAAAAACACTTGTGGTTGTGACATAAAAATTATATATGTATAATCTAATTTTACATGGCGTATACATTTTACATGGCCACATATACATTTTACATGGCCACGTATACATTTTACATGGCCACGTATACATTTTACATGGCCATATCTACAAATGTACATTGTTTTAAATCTCATAATTATAAACTTCTGCCATTTCACGTCTGTTTCTCTGATTTCCCCTCTGTATAATAAAGATCAAGACCTAGAGAATACTAACACTCTTTCAAGCAGGTCATGTTTCTGAGGCCCATGATTTGACTCCTTCATTAGATTAGTATGTCTCACATGAGCTCTTGCCTTTCTCAAGCTGATTAGTTAGAGAATTTAGCAGGAGAATACAATGAGATGAATATAATTCAATAAAGCATCAAATGAACCAAACCTAATTTACATCATGTTTCATATTAGCCTGGCTTTTGTTACAAAGGAAGATCTGACATTTCACAAAGAGGGGAGGGCATTAAAATGTATATTAAAAACCCACAGGTCTTTCATTTGATTTTAAACTAATGCCATTATTCAAAATAAGCCCCGTTTTGGCAATGAAGCCAACAAAGGTCAAAATGATATCATTTTTGTGGCCCAAAATCTTTTTTTATGGGTGGGGGGAGTAAGAACATAATAAATGAGGGACACAATCCATATCAAGCTACCATTAACATGCAACATTAACAGTTTCATCATTTGAGCTCCGAAGTTTTTATGTGACCAATTATCATTTGGCTTTGGCTAGATTCCCTAACTTATTTGATCATTTTCAGTGTTCCATGAAACTGTGATTTTCAGAGAAATTTTGATATGTTCTAACTTCTCTAAATTATGCAAAATAAATCATACTCATAATTCATAGCAATTTCTATTGAACCTTTAAAGAACCCTAGCTTACCTGATTTCCAATGAGCCAGAATGTTAAATGATATCTATTTTCAATATTGGCCTTTTCACTTTGTGAAACAAAACTAGATGATTCAAATCAATCTGATAAACTACTCAGATAAGCTTCATTGCTTTAATTGATCAAATTGAATTCAAATCTGATCACAAAATCATGTTTAACAAACATGAAACCTTGTTGTCAGACAATGGGAGGATTCTTTTGTAGGTGATATTGAGAAAATCAAATTTATTTAGACTGATCTTAACGAAGTCCACTTTTGTCATTAGGCTAATGTAGTTCCTTAAATCCCCATATTAATGATAATGGAATTTCCGAGTTTCTATGGTGATTGATTCTAAGAGGCTAGGGTCGGAAGAAATAATGCGTTCAGCTCTTAGTTTCAAGTACATCAATGGTTAGGGAGATTGTAAATCTTATACTAATCTTTGACTTATACAACACCTGATTTGAACCTATTTTGCACCTGAAACACACCAGGAATGCACCACTTGGAAACCAGGCTATGTTATAGTTGGGAACAATAAATGGTCATCCTATAGACAAATATGTTTTAAAAATCTAACTCACTTTTCCAGAGAAATTAAACGTGACTTTCATGTTGGCAATGTTTTGTTTATGGTGATGCGAAAGTATTTTTAATGAAGCAGATCTCATTTGGATCTTAGTGTAAATTACTATTCAAGCTGTACAGCCGTGATACTTTACTTTTAGAGCCTAATGACTAGTTTCAAATCATCATCAAAACCTCCACAGACATTTCCTCAAACACTGTAATTTCACTTCTTTTTACATTTAACACGATTGGATGGTTTGGTAAATTTTATTGAATGAATTTCACGGTTTTGTCCATACTATCATTATGAGCATTTTTTCTCTTGTTTTCTACCGAGGTTCAGACAATTTTGAATGTTGAATATAATGGGATAATTCCTATAGTTCAGAGACTTTCAAATAAAATGTTATACATTGTTTATTTCACCTTTTCCCTAAGATGTCATTGTAAAACACGTGAAGCATCATTGTATACAAAAAACGACAGCCATTCCAAATTCTCTGAAATTCACAAAATGCTACAACCTCTAAAAAGACACGAAATATTCGAGATCATGAAATATTAACGAAGATCAAATTCAGAGCAGCTTATACGTAATCTGAAATTGAATCTACAGCCGAGATATATAACATCGAAAAACAGATTAGTAGAAATAACATTAAAGGTGATGAATGATAATTGGAGATCTGGATAACCTACGCATTATAGCCTCGTATAGAAAACAGAATACTTTTCCAGACAGGAAGTGATTTCCTCACAATGAGGCAACTAATGCCACATCCAGTCCTGAAATTGAAAATTACTTTACAATGTTAAAATATACTTTCACTTCATGCAGTGAAAAAATCATTTTAATGAAGATTTTTCAAGTTTTATATACTGATTAGACAGAATAAGGTAAAATGAGAGATTTTTGTAATTACGTAAGGAAAGTACTTCCACATGTTTATCTCACAACTCAACTCAGAAAATAGGTATGACGCATATCCGAAATTGCAAAAACAGAAATATACTTTTAAATGATTACGAAGTTTCCTGCCAAAGGAATATAATACTTGCTAAGATCGTGATTTATCTCATTTTTGTTAGAGGCTAGAAGGTGTGTTGAGGAAATAATAAACACAATAAAGAAAGTTGATTGTGACGCACCCAAAACCTAATGAAAGACCATAAGCAATGTAACTCTAATTTCGCATCAATAAAATCCACTTAATGGTGAAAATTACTAGTGTTGACGTGTAATTTATGATGCTGTTAGCAAGTAAGCTTTACTAACGTGAAACGTGGCATTTAATTTGTATTTTCAGAGTGTTTTTAAGGATTTAGATTATACCCTAGAAAAGTTCATCTGAAAATGCGATATATCAAGAAAGCTTACAGAATAGCAATACTTAACTTGTTGACTTATAAGAGATGGTGATATTTATCAAGTTATTGTACGATACTCTGTGCAATATATTAGTTTGATTAATTGCTTGCTTAATTATAGGTACTTGTTTGTTTGTTTGTTTGTTTGTTACAAATTCCGCTGAGGGAAAAGATTTGGTCTGAGGCCAGTTCAGGTTCAAGTACTTAAAGAGCACAAAGGGGTACATAAAACACCACAAAAGCCTTATAAATCATAAAAACATATTTGACATGGTGGCAAAATTTTACGTTGAGTGACCAACGGTTTTACATGGATGGCATTACATACAAGTCGTCTTAAATTTTAACTAAAAGCTCATTTTGACGTCAGAATAAATGGAGATAGCAAATAAGATCAGGCACAAAATGTTCGAAATGAAAAATATGATGATCAAATTGTTCAAACCAACATTTTTAATTTAACATGAGACTATATGGGGAATAACTAGAACTAAAGTACCCTCTATCAACATGTAGGCGTTCACTTTTAGACAATTGTTCCTATGAGAGTCTGTTTTAGAGTATAAGCTTAAATTCTGTTAGACAGAAAAAGTCACAAAAGTATCTGAACATAATAAGAATGTCAATCAAGTGTGAAAAAATCAGAAATTACAAGAAAATTAATAAAGCCTCAGAGAAAATTGTTCAATATGATTAACTCAGACAGGCTTTAGTAACCGAGCCTAATACTAACTGACTTGTATAGAAAGATCATAAGCACTTTATTATAATAAAAGAAAACTAAAGGAGATAATTAGAGATTGAAAACGGATGTGCCTGATGGAAAACTGATTCACAGAATATAGCTAAACATATGAGGTCTGTTTTAGAATTGATAAAATGTTCCTTGAAATGATAATTATACATGTACAATGAATGAACCAAAAAACAACATAGTTGCAAAATATGAGTCCAAAAAAGCTTCTAATTTCTTAAAGCTAGAACCTGAAAAGCAAGGAAGGTCAAGGTCAAATCCTAATTTGTCAAAATTTTAG